AAAAAAAAAAAAAAAAAAAAGATATGCCAATACCATCAATAAGGCTACAGCCAAATCTTGCTCTGGGCAATAAGCCATTCTCCCTTCTTAGGGTAACTTTTTCACTGGCCTCACCATTCTGTGTGGATTTTATGGCTTAACTCTCTAAGGAAATCTTTATTTTCCTTACTTCCAGATTATTGATGGGAGGTGGCTTTGCATTGTTCCCTCACATTGTCTGTGGTAAGAGTGTCTTATCATCTATCCTTTCCCTGGGGAGAAGAAAAGAAACACTTACTTCCTTTTCCCAAAATTCTGCATTTCAATGCTAAGCAACTTTATCTTCTCCACCTTCTTAGTTCCTTTGCTCAATTCTATTTCTTTTTTTTTTTTTTTTTTTTCTCTTTCTTTCTTTTTGCAACTGAGACAGTGCCTCACTTTGTTAACCAGGTGGATCTTGAACTTTTGGGCTCAAGCTATCCTCCTGCCTCAGACTCCGAAGTAGATGGGACTATATAGCATGAGCCACCATGCCTGGCCTAGATTGCATTGCTTTAGTAGCCACTACTTTATGTTTTAAGAACTGTTTTGCCTCACTGAAGAGAAGCTGCTCAGTCATTTTCACATTTGTTACTCAAATCAAAGTGTGAGCTTCAGGCTTAGAAAAATTAAATTACTTCTCATTTTGCCTGTGACAAAATAAAATTCACATTATTTTTTAAAAAGACATTTCTCTTTACTTACAAGAAAATTTTTTTGGCAATGACTTTATATATATCACAGTAGTACCCTAAAACATAATGAGGCAGATGAGAGTTTGGGGAAAAATGGTCAAGATTCATGTTGCTTTATAAACTTCATAAAGGCACAGCGTGTCAGATATAGCTGATGGAATGAATGAAATAACTAACTAGTTAACTAATGAATCCTCATAACTATTCATGGAAGATGGCAGAGTTTTCAGCATTCTAGCCATAGAGAAATGGCATTTGGTGCCCCTTTAGAGCCACAGGATAAATTGTTAAATATGACATGAAGTCATTTCTCACCACAGTTCCCCTGTGTTGGAACAAGTATGTTGGACTGAAGCCCCTTTGTTCCCTGTGAAGAGTCTACCACCTCTGCAAACTTGTCCTCAGGAATGTCGTTCTAGAAATAATCCAGCCTTCTCCCTGGGGTCCATGAGTCATACACAGAAGCTAATTCATTGGAGCAACTGGCTTTTCTTAGGCCCTTTGTAAAAGTATTTCAGAGATCCCGCCTGATGAAGCAAAGAAAGTAGGGTTCCTCCTCAGTTTTTTTCTAGCTATTCCCTTATTTCCTCTGTGCTTCTTCCACCACCTCATGTTTGGCTTTCACTGATGACCTTTACCTGCAGACCCAGACCCCAATTCCTTAGTTAGTGTTGCCTGAAGCTGGAAGTACACCAGCAAAGCCTCATTACCCCACCTACCCAGCTCCATTCATTCAGATTTGGAATTAAATCACACTCTACCAGACCTCTCCATCCTCTTTGCTGCTAAACACACTTGTGACATACAGTATGCCAATGACTGATGCTCCAGGCTTGGTTCTCTACTGTAAGGGGATACCCAAAAATTTATCTTTTTTTCTTTTAGCTTTTTTAAATTCATTTTTTATAACAAGTAGTAATAGAACACATTTTCACTGTAAAATAACAACATGAGGCCGGGCGTGGTGGCTCACGCCTGTAATCCCAGCACTTCAGGAGACCGAGGTGTGTGGATCATGAGGTCAGGAGTTTGAGACCAGCCTGACCAACATGCTGAAACCCCATCTCTACTAAAAATACAGAAATTAGCCGAACACAGCGGCAGGTGCCTGTAATCCCAGCTACTCGGGAGGCTGAGGTAGCAGAATCGCTTCAACCCAAGAGGTGGAGGTTGCAGTGAGCCAAGATTGCACCACTGCACACTAATCTGGGTGACAGAGCAAGACTCCATCTCAAAAAACTTTTTTTTAAAAATAACAACATGAAGCTGAAGTCCCCTTTGTTAAACTAAGTAATTTGCATTGCTGTATAATTTTTGGTTGTTTTTATATTCTAGAATGCTTTGGGTTTTTTGTTAGTTTTTAAAGTTGTTAATTTCTTTCTCCCATGTTTATTTATTTATTTATTTATTTATTTTATTTGTTTATGAGATGGAGTCGCCCAGCCTGGAGTGCAAGTGGCCCAATCTTGGCTCACTGTAACCTCTGCCTCCCAGGTTCAAGCGATTCTCTTGCCTCAGCCTCCCACATAGCTGGGATTACAGGCGCCTGCCACCACGCCTGGCTAATTTTTGTATTTTTAGTAAAGATGGGATTTCACCATATTGGCCAGGCTGGTCTCAAACTCCTGAGCTCAAGTGATCCACCCGCCTCGTCCTCCCAAAGTGCTGGGATTTCAGGTATGAGCCACCATGCCCGACCTAGAATTTTTTTTTTGACACAAGAAATACAGGACTCCAATAAAATTCAAACAGTATAGAAGTATGAATAGCAAAAAGGGAAAATATCTCAGAACCCTGCGCTATTTCCACTTCCTGTCCATTGTTAACAGTTTGATGATAGCTTTCCAGAGCTTTGTAAAATGCATTTACATACATACATATATATGTACTTAGGCAGATAGTTTTATTTTTATATAAATGGGATCATGTTATATCTGTTCTACAACTTCCTTTATTTACTTACTATCTTCTAGTTTTTCATGTATGTTCAGCTTTACTTTATTAACAAATACATTAATACTTTATAGTTTGAATGTGCCATAATTTATCTAAACATTTCCCTATTGAGGGGATTTGAATTACTTCCTGTTTGGGGTTTTGATTGTTATTACAGCAATGCTGTATCAAACATCTTTGCATATGTCTCTTTGTGTACTACTTAAGAATGTGTCTAGGCTAGATGTCTAGAGGTACAGTCAATGGATCAAAAAATGGCTGTGGAAGCCAGGCCAGTGACGAGTGCCTGTAATCCCAGCTAATCCCAGCTACTCGGGAGGCTAAGACAAAAAGATTGCTTTGAGGCCAAGAGTTAGAGACCAACCTGAGCAACAGAGAGAGACCTCATCTCTTAAAAAAAGTTTTTTATAAAATTAATTAGGCATGATAGTGAGTGCTTATAGTCCTAGCTACTCAGGAGGCTGAGGCAGGAGGATTGCTAGAGCCTAGGCATTTGGAGGCTACAGTGAGCAATGTTTGCATGTATGAACCACCACTGTACTCTAGCCTGGGTGACATAATGAGACCCCATCTCAAATAAGAAAAGATGAATGTATTTAAAGTTTTACATTATTCAAAATTTACTATCAAAGTGAACACTTTATTTCCCTTTCTTTTGCAGAGAGTTCTATTCTGGGAACTGACATTGACCTTCAGACTGTAGACAATGATATCGTCAGCATGGAGATATTTTTCAAAGCCTGGCTACATAACAGTGGAACAGACCAAGAACAAATTCATCTTCTTCTTTCTTCACAGTGTTTCAGCAACATTTCCAGAGCCAGAGATAATCCAAGTACATAACCCCCAAAAGATACATAGACTATGATTATTCTTATCTGGGATCAGGGCTCTAGATTAGTGAGTCTGTGGAATACGGCATGGCTGAGGTTTAGGGACTGGAAGAGGATTGGATGAGGCTGTCCAGTATAAGCATGAGGGATAAGAAGAGAAGGTCTAGGAAGCAATCATGGTTAGAAAGCTGAACCAAATTAAGACCAACCAGCAAGGGCCAGTTAGTTTAGGGGCAAAGTCTCAGACACCTCAAGGATGGAGAATTGGCTAGACTACATAAGAACACAATGAATCACATTTCTCAATATTCTCATTTTTAATGTGGTAAATATTATTGGCATTATAATTGGGAGCATGCTGCTACCTCAACAATATCAATAGGGCCTGTGGCAAAAGGAAGAGAACCAAGGTTAAACAAAGATTTCACTAGGGAGGCAACAAATGGGGGAAAACTAAAGAGACGCCCCAGGGAGGACAACCAGTGGCCCAAAACCATGTTCACAAAGCAGTTCGGGCAATTACTGAAACCGAGAGATCAATCCAGTGTTCTGGTCATGCCAAAAAGACCCTGGATACTGTTCTGCCTGGCAATTATACTTCATTCCAGGTCCCACTAGATGTTAAGAATAAGGCCATTTCTATTCTCCCATCTCTTCCGAAGGCTGGCTCAGGCAGGACCTGGGGCGGCCAGGCCTGCAGATGGGACTACCCATCAGTCTAATCAGCCACACTGAGGTTGGGAAAGCTGAGTCCTCAGGGACCAGCACCAAAGAGAAATTATCAAAGTATGTCTTCTTTAGGGGTGGGAGTTTGTACCCATCTTTCTCACTGAACAGAATACTGGTAGTGGTAGTGGCTACAGAGATCATTGAGGATTGAAGACTAGATTGAACGTGATGTTTACCAAAGCCCTTCTCTAGGCTTTGACACAACTCATTGGGGTTACTGCCTCCTTTGAGAGCTCTTTCTTGGCCAGTAGCAGTATATCTGAGTTTTTATATGTGTTCCTTTTCTTCAGCTGTTATAAAACTCCTTATGACCATTGTTTCTTCAGGATAGGGAAGGGCTTTTTGGAGGTGTTACTACACAGGATTAAGGCTTTCCAAGACCCTTTCTGTCTCGGGATGGCCATCAAGTCTCTTCTCTCCCCGATTTCAACCTAGTGCCCAGGATGGCTTTGCAAACTTAACTTGATTTTAATCTGGCTTTTCTTTGTGTAAAATACTCTTCCCAGAACCTCTTTTCCATCCCTTTTGTCCAAGGTTGATAATACCAATTTCTCCTTTTCCTGTCCTCTGGAATTCACTTATCCATTTTCCCTATTTAAGGCAGATGGCAACTTTGTACAGAAGCTAGCATATAGCTAACATTATTGAGCTCTTCCTCTGTGCTAAGCACTAAATTAGCTCCATTTCTTGCATTATCCCATTTTATCTTCACACAACACTATGAGGCAGTACTGTTTCCATATGTCATTGAATCTAAGATGCTATCAATTATAAGATATACCACTGTTTTATGTACCAGTAAAAAGGAAAACAGACTAGGTGCAGTGGCTCACTCCCGTAATGTCAGCATTCTGGGAGGCAAAGGTGGAAGGATCCCTTGAAGCCAGGAGTTAGTAACAGCCTGTGCAACATAGACCTGTCTCTACAAAAAATAAAAATAAAAAATGAGCCAGGCACGGTGGTATGCACCTGTAGTCTCAGCTACTCAGGAGACTGAGGCAAGAGGATCGCTTGTGCCCAGGAGTTTAAGGTTGCAGTGACCCCGTGATGGAGCCACTGAACTTCAGCCTGGGCAACAGAGTTAAGACCCTGTCTCTAAAAAAATAAATAAATATTTAAAAAAATTTTTTTAATTATTTATAATAAATATTTTCTTTAAAAAGAAAGAAAACATTGCCCATTGAACATTACACAGCTCTTTCTTGTCACTTAGAAGTATTATTTTACTTATATTGAGAGAGCTTTTTTAGGTTAAAGTAGTAAGTAAGGATTTAGAGTGCCTGCATGGTCAATGGCAATTGTAAGACACATGTAGAGATGAAAAAAAAAGTCTTAGAATCAATTAAATACAGTACTTCCCCCATTTTACATATGAGAAAACTGAGACTTAGAGAAATTAAACACATTTCTCAGGGCTGCACAGAATATTAGTAGCAGAGCTAGGATTTGAAACCAGGCAACAGGGTCCACTCTTAACCCTTAGGATCAGAAATCTGTATTTTGTGCACTTGACACTTTCAGCCTAGACAATGTCCATAAACCGAGGTCTATCTTCCTCCAGAACCTGGGCCTTTATCTACTATACTAACCTGCCTTGTTCTGAGCAATTCTGAAGAAAGGGGCTAGAGATTCACTTCTTTCATTAGGAGGGCTGGGGCCCTCAGAGGCCAGGAACTCCTGTAACCAGCCTTTCTTCCACTATTGCATGGCATTTGCTTATGATGCTAATCAGAATTTATCTGGCTTCCCCTCTCTCTTTCCAAAGCTTTCAGCACCAGGGTCAGAGCCAGAATATTTATCTCCATCTATAACCATTTTTTTGAGAAATCTGTAGGTCTTCAGGATGCACAACGGAACTTAGATCTAGACTATAGTCAGATTTTCTGCTGGAGAGGTCTTCACTGGAATCCAGATATTGAGGACAGCTGGAATAAGGTCTGGGGACCTTAGGCCTCTTCTAGGGTGGATGTGACCCACCTGAGATTTTAAACAAGCACAATAAAGATTATGCTGTCGTTATTACTTTAAAAATTGATGTATTGCCACACCTGTAGATTTCTGGACTATGGCTCACTACAAAAAAAAATGAAAGAAAACCAAAACCCCAAGCTTTCCTCCTCTAGACTTTTTGGGGCATGCATCTCAGATGTTCACTCTGACTCCTGCTTACAAGGTTCTCTATCTGATGCTACCTGCCTCTTTGACTGCCTAGGGCCCTTCACCCCGTATCTAGGTATGTCCCTTAGAAGGGCCTTCCTCTGACAGACCACACAGTGAGCTACACATGAGTTTCTTTTTTTGTTCTTAGGTTTGGGGTCTACCACATCCGTATCTGGGCTCTGGGTGGGAGAAGCACACCTGGTTCTAGATTTAAGCCCTGCTAAAATAGCTTTCCCAGCTTTGGGACACTCTGCTGAGACCATAGTTTGGGTAGTTCTTAACCAGGGCTGCAATAAGAATCACATGGGGATCTTATTAAAAAAAAAAAAATACCAATGTCTGGGCTTTACCCCCAGAGACCCTGATTTAATTGGTCTGGGGTAGGGCCCAGACATCAGTATCTTTTTCAAGTTCCCCAGATCAGGGGTCCCCAACCCTGTTGGGCCCTGTTAGGAACTGGATTAGCAGGAGGTGAACAGCAGGTGAGTGAGCGTTACCACCTGAGCTCCGTCTATCAGATGGGCTGTGTCATTAGATTCTCATAGGAGCCCAAACCCTATTGTGAACCATGCATGCAAGGGATCTAGGTTGTGCATTCCTTATGAGAATCTAGCTAATGATCTAAGCCTGATGATCTAAGGAGGAATGGTTTCATCCCAAAACCATCCCCCAGCACCCCGTGGAAAAATCGCCTTGTATTAAACTGGTCCCTAATGCCAAAATGGTTGAGGACTGTTGCCCTAGATGAATCTTACTGCAACCAGAATGAAAACCTCAGCCAGATGAACACAACTGTTCAGTCCTAAAGCCCCAGGACCAGAAATAGAGAAGTCAAGCATAGAGGAAATGAGAGGAAGCTGGAGTCCTAGGCAAAGTCCCTCCTACTGACTTCCTGGGCTCTGGGACATGTTCTGGCTGAGGGCCATTTCACCCAGAATTAATGTCTAGGTCTTATTCACGTGGCCCAGGAGGGCCAGCTGGATCAGATATCTATTCTGCCACTATATTTTTTTCTATGTTGTTTCTATGTTTTTACCTTATGTTGCAGTTAGTACAGCCACTTCACAAGTCACTAACGTCAACTACCAGCCTTCTCAGAAGTACTCAACATTCGTATATTCACAAGTTTGTTATCAATATTCAAACCAGGTATACGTTTTATTGAAGAACTTTGTAATATCAAGGATTCAAGCTTGTGCAACAGAACATCGTAAACTGTGGCATATGCAGTTACCTACTGGAACAGAAGCTTAATACAGAAGAGTATAATACCTAGATGAGGAACTCCTATCTAGCCTAAGCACTCCTCAGAACTGTTGTTGATGCTGTTGTGATGCTCCAAGGCCCAGAAGGTCCTAAACTCATGTTTCTTTGGGGAATTAAAAAATAAACTATTTCAGGAACTTATTCCTTTCTCCCCACCCCAAATGTCCCTGAACTAGCCCACAAAGAAACAGTAGCAGTCATATGACTGCCTGACTTCTGCTTTCCTGCTCTTCCTTCATCTGACCTGCACTGTTGCCAAGCCTTAGCCTCAAGGAAGCAGCAAGATTTCCTTCTGTGATTGCCAAAGGGCCTCTGCATATTTTGGTATTAGCTACCTCCTCCACAGAAGTTGCATGTTCCTCAGACTGGATCACAAACCAGATATCTCACTATGAGACCACTGCTCAGCCAGCCCAGAAGTAAAACAAATAAAAATCACATCAGACCCTTGAAAATAAGTTAACTGTTATGTAGAGCTATAGAGATACTATAGGTTCCAGACCTGCTCTCCCGTCCCAAACCAGTCAGGCTTTCCTCTTTCCACTCTCCTGCCTCCTATCCCTTGCTTGCCTGGTAGAGATGGAATGGGTACCAGATGTTGTCTCTTAATGGCATAGCCTAAGGTAACTTATGACCCACACTCCTTCCTCCAATGCTGCTTTTATTGTAGTGTGCCTGAAATGTGATCTCCAAGAGCGACTGCTCAGCCCATCCCTACTTCCTGGCACAGCTGACGGTTCCTTGAGAATGGATGACCCCAAAGGAGACTTCAGCACACTCTACCAGATGGCTTCCCAATCATCGGCCTCTCATTACAAGCTCCAAGTTATCAAGTATGGTCCAAAGGACCCTCCCCAGTCCATGCAAATGCTATTCTTGTGATTCTGTGGCTAGGAAGTCCAGAAATAGATGGTATCTCTAAAGTGTCAGGCCAGCAAGAGTCAGTTCCAAAGTAGCAGTTACAGCTATGACACAAAGAAGCAAAGTCAGGCTACTCAGCATGTGGAGGCCAAATGTGCAGATGGGGGGAGAAGTGTTGCAGTAGCACAATCTGAGGTCTGCATGAGGATTGTTTTTCTTTTGACTCATTGAAAAGGTGTTTATCCATTCAGCAAATGTTTACTGAATGACTACTTTGTTTAGGCATCAGGACAGAGATACAATCTTCAAGGAGTAAGTGGTCTTAGACACAGTACTTAGTCTAGTGCTAAGTAAATCCGATGTCTACTCCTGCTTCCTCCCATTTATCTAGTACTTAAGTACTAGAATTAAGTACTAGAATTTAGTACTATTTCTAGCACTTAAGTACTAGAATTAAGTACTATTTATCTAAGTACTAGAATTTATCTAAGTACTAGATTTATCTAAGTACTAGAATTCATCTCCCATTGATCTAAGTACTAGAATTCCTTCTCCCAGGGGAACCAATTGTAGAATAGAATTAGCAGGCCTGGCACAGTGGCTCCTGCCTATAATCCCAGCACTCTGGGAAGCTAAGGCAGGAGGACTGCTTGAGCCCAAGAGTTCAAGGCTGAAGTGAGCTATAATTGGACCACTGCACTCCAGCCTGGGTGACAGAGCAAGCCTTTGTCTAAAAAAAAAAAAAAAAAAGAACAACAACAATGAATTAGCAATGATGGCAGAGACCACTTCAACTCTTCCCAGTTCCTACCACTATGCACGTGCACAGGTTCCCAAACTTTGACAATCTTCTGTGTGTTAGATACTATGCCTGATGCTGGCCATAAAAAGATGTATAGTTCACAGACCCTAATCTAAAAGCTTTCACAATAGCGTCTTAGAGTTAAGCTGAATTGAAATAGATCTAGGTAGAGGTTCTAGATATCACTAAGGAGTCTTTCACTGTAATTATCTCTTCCTAGGGCTTTAAAATCTAGCGGGCTCTGCGAGTCATTGACATATGGACTCCCATTCATCCTCAGACCTACAAGCTGTTGGCAACTGGACTGGGATGAGCTGGAGACAAATCAGCAACATTTCCATGCTTTGTGTCACAGCCTGCTGGTGAGTACCCATGTCCCCAGGTGAAAAAGAATAATTATTTTAAAGTACCAACCACAGAAAAACAGCTAACAACTCTGCCTAATCCTAAACCTGCCTCAACTCTCAAGAAGACAGAAAAAAACTGGAAATACCCTGAAATTTAGAGTAAATATGACTTGCCTTTTGTTGGTTTTATGCTATAGAGAATAATTCCAGAATTGAGTTATACGATACTAAACTTGAAAATCCCCAATTTGTAAGCTTAACGTTTAAATGGCAACAGGGAATTTTCCATAAGTACCTGTATTTTAAAACCTACTTCCTTCCTAACACTGTGATAGACGTTATGGTTCATTTAAATGAAGAGCACTTAGTCTTTGCCAGACATTGTGTCAAACCCTAGATATATATTCCGTAGTGACCTAAAAGACATTACCTATGACCTCAAGAAACCCACCCTCTGATAGAAGAAACAGAAATGTATATATTCTTAATTATGGGAAGTTTATAAAGGAAAAGAAGAGGCTGCTATAAGAAAGCCTGTCAATAGAAGTGACTAAGACCTACAAGATAAGTGAGAATTAACCAGGCGAAAGGTGGCAGGAAGAGCATTCCAAGTGCAGCAAAAGGTATGTGCAAAGACCCTAAGGCTGGAAAGAGCTGAGAGAAAAATCAAGAACAGAAAAGCCATTGTGACTGAAACAGGGAGGAAGGGAGAGAGTGACAAAAGGTAGGACTGGAGAAGTGAGCAGGGGTCAAATCATACAAAGCTTTGTAGGCCAAATTAAGGACTTTGGACCTATGGAAACAAATCACAAGAAATATCATCAGTTTAAGTTGTTTTTTTTTTTTTTTTTTTTTGAGATGGAGTTTTGCTCTTGTTACCCAGGCTGGAGTGCAATGGCGCGATCTCGGCTCACCGCAACCTCCGCCTCCTGGGTTCAGGCAATTCTCCTGCCTCAGCCTCCTGAGTAGCTGGGATTACAGGCACGCAGCACCATGCCCAGCTAATTTTTGTATTTTTAGTAGAGACAGGGTTTCACCATGTTGACCAGGATGGTCTCGATCTCTTGACCTCGTGATCCACCCGCCTCAGCCTCCCAAAGTGCTGGGATTACAGGCGTGAGCCACCGCGTCCGGCCAGTTTAAGTTTTTAAAATGAACTTGCAGAAGCAAAAATGGAAACATGAAAATGAGATAGGAGGGCACTGCAGTAGACTAGGCAAGAGACAATGGTGGCTTGGACAAGAACAATGCAAGCCAAGATGAGATGAGCAAACCAATTAGAGAAATATTTTAGAATTGCTTCTTGGCCTTGTGTAGAAATATTCTGGAGACAGAATTGTCAAAACTTGGTTGAGAGATTGGATACAGGGAGTAAGAAAGAGGAAGTATCAAATAACTGCCTGGTTTCTGAACTGAACAACTAGGTGGATATCATTCCCCGAAATAGAAAAATTAACAGCAGTCACATGAAACTAACACAACACTTAGAAAGCAAAATTACGCAACACTTAGAAAGCAAAATTTAAAAAACTGCAAATAGAATGCAAGGACAGATATGGAATAAATATTTGACCTAGTAGGATGATCAGGACAGCACAGCAATGAGTCTCTTTCACTATCAGAAGCATTTTTTTTCCTGTTTCAAAGCCCACACTCCCTTTTAGGTCCACCCACTGAGTTCCTGTTTCCTGTCTGAAGAACACCCATCTCCTGTCTTTGCAGAGCAGAGACGACAGACAGTTGTGACTGTTAGTACCCAACAACTCAGTTTACTATTTGCTCAACCCAGTTCCTCAGAATCTGAGATAATACATCACTTGGGAGGAATTTCTCCCAGGTGGCTTCAATACATTCTTACAGTATTTGATATTTTAAACATACACTGACATTTTAATACACTGCTAGAGAGGGTGGAAATTTTCTGGAAAAAATGATGTCCTTAACTTTTGCTGGAAAGGTAGCCCAAGAAAACAGTCAGGAAAGGGAGCAAAGACATATGTACCAGCATGTTCATCTCAGTGTTACTTACAATAGTGAAAAATTGGAAACGACCCAAATGTCCTAAGTAGGGGAAAAGTTATAGGAACTATAACCTGGTGTGGTATGGTGGCTCACACATGTAATCCCAGCACTTTGGGAGGCCGAGGCAGGCAGATCGCTTGAGGCCAGGCGTTCGAGGCCAGCCTGGCCAACATGGTAAAATCCCAACGCTACTAAATATACAAAAATTAGCCAGGCGTAGTGCCATGTGCCTGTAATCCTAGCTACTTACGAGGCTGAGACATGAGAATCACTTGAACCCGGGAGGCGGAGGTTACAGTGAACCAAGATTGCACCACTGCACTCCAGCCTGGGCAACACAGCAGGACCCTGTCTCAAAAAATTATAATAATAAAGATAGTAAAAAGTATTTCCTTCCATCCTGGCTTACATAAACAAGATTAGAGTCTTCCTGCCACTAAACTCAGGGTTTGAGGATCTGTATTTATCTATTTATTTATCAAGTATTTACTGACCATTGTGTGCCAAGCACTGTTGTAGGGATGAAGAGACCTCTTCTTCATTAGTTTTCTCTCATGGAAAAGCATAGGGATGTAGTTGACCTGTCACTAATAGATAGCCATATTTTAGAGCATTTACTAAGTGGTAGTCACTTAACCAAGTGTTTTGCATACTTTACCTCATTTAATCCTCACGATGCCCTGTGAAGTAGGGATTGTTATTTCCAACTTTTGCAGATAGAGGAGGCTGAGGCCTAAAAAGACCAAGTGAGTTACCAAAGATCACACAGCTACCAAAGTAGCCTAGTCAGAATTTGAGGACCCGGCTCACACCTGTATTCCCAACATTTTAGGAGGCCAAGGCACAAGGATTACTTGAGCCTAGGAATTCAAGACTAGCCTGGGCGACAGAGCAAGACCCTGTCTCTATTAAAAATTAAGAAATTAGCCAGTAGCAGTGACTCATGCCTGTAGCCCCAGCTACTCGGGAGTCTGAGGTGGAAGGATCGCTTGAGCCCGAGTTTAAGGCTGCAGTGAGCCATGATAGTGCCACTTCACTCCAGTCTGGGTGACAGAGGGAGCCCCTATCTGAGGGTGGCAGGGGTGGGGGTGGAGAAAGAAAGAAAATAAAACAAGAATTTGAACCTAGTTCTGTTGACTACAAAGCCCATGTTTTTAAATTATTTGCTAAATTCCCTACTCTGGATATAGCCAGATAAATACAGACTATAACACTGAAGCTGATTCTCTCTTCACTTACACCCCATGCTTCTGTACTTCAGTGGACTTGAACTCACTTAAAATGGCACAGTACTCATAATAGCTGCTTACCCATCTTGAGCAGTTTTCTTTACTGTGTTTGGTCCGCCTCATCTAGACTAAAGACCACTTTCCTATTCTGGAAAAGAGAGAAGCAAAACAGTGTGTAAATACCTCTTCCTTCTCACTTTTCTTTCTTTTTTTTGTTTTTAGTTTTATAAGATGGGGTTTCACCATGATGGCCAGGCTGGTCTTGAACTCCTGACCTCAGGTGATCCACCCACCTCAGCCTCCCAAAGTGCTAGGATTACAAGCATGAGCCGTTGTGCCTGGCTCTCTTTCTTTTTTTGTTATTAAGACAAAGTCTCGCACTGTCACCAGGCACCAGGCTGGAGTGCAGTGGCGCAATCTTGGCTCACTGCAACCTCTGCCTCCCGAGTTCAAGCAATTCTCCTGCCTCAGCCTCCTGAGTAGCTGGGACTACAGACGCACATCACCACGCCCAGCTAATTTTTATATTTTAGTAGAGACAGGGTTTCACCATGTTGGCCAGGATGATCTTGATCTCTTGACCTCGTGATCCGCCCGCCTCGGCCTCCCAAAGTGTTGGAATTACAGGCGTGAGACACCACGCCCAGCTCCTTCTTACTTTTCACGTGACATTTTCTCCAAGGCAGCAAAAATCCTGAATGGCATTACGTTACAGAGGAAAAACTTTTCACAAACTTCAGCTCATCCATTCAACAACAAATATTTTTAAGTGTGACAGGACTTATTTAGGCTTTAACCTTCCTAAGCCTATTTTTACAAGTTTGCCATGCCACTTTAACTCCTTCTTTGGTTTTCTATTCTTTCATATACCTTTTTCATATGTTCTTTAAAAATCTGATTTCAGATCAGTTCCGTATTTAACTCTCTTGCCTTCTGTTTCACATTGTGATGTTCCCCTCCAGCCAACTTCTCATTCTAACTTCTGCCTTTCTGTTAATAGCAGCACCGCCATTGTCTAGTCACCCAGGCTTGAAACCTCAGTCACTTTCAGCCGTCTCACCCTTCACACCTACTTCATCACTAATCACACCAATTTTCCACTCATAACATGAGTTGTAACTCTCCTTTACTTCTTGTTCCCACTGCTTGTCTCACCAAGACTTCTTCAGTAAACTCCTAACTAGCTTCCCTGCCTCCAAGCTCTCCCTCTTTTGGTTTTCCCTGCACATTGGCACCAGCTTAATCTCTTTGAAGCATTTCCCTATCACATGTTTTTCTACGTATCAGTACTCGATAGGGAATTAAGCCTTGCCTGTTTTATCCCTATTGCACCTGTTATCACTATCCTAGTTCAAGCCCTTTTAACCTTTCCTTTAATACTGCAATAATCTTTCAACTTGTCTCAATGCTTTTAGTACTTCCCCTTCCTAGTCCGTTTCACGTACTGCCAACAGATTAATCTTCTGGAAATGCAGCACTGACTCTACCATGATTCAGCTTAAAAATACTTTGTGGCTTACTATTGTTTATCCATAAAGTCCATATTCCTTAGCCTAATATTCAAGGTCCCATCTTATCTCCCATTATTCCCCTTCATGTACCATACACTCCAACCAAATTAATATACATACCTTAAATTTTTTCACCTTTGAGACTTTGCTCATGTTGACCTTTCTCTCATCTCTGTGTGTTCAAATACTACCCTATCCTGAAAGACCAAGCTCAAGTGGTACTTCTTGAATGAGACCTCTCCAATTCCTTCAC